AGGGCGTACGGAGGTTAGTCACAGTGCAGAGGGGCGGGTGTCTGACCTGTGCCACCTGCGGCCTCCTAGTCGGGTTGAACAGGTTGCAGCTATGTTTGAGGATAAGAGGCTACCACCGCGTATTCAATTTTTCTCTGAACATCTGTGATGTTCAGGTAATCTTTTTATACGCAGCTTCCACTCCTACTTTTAGAAATATTGTGAGGTAGCCAACAAAAAACAGGCCTACTTTTAATTCTGTGAAACTTCTTAAGAATGCTTATTTTTACTAACTTTCACTGTTGGGCCAAATGTTACTTGGTGGTATTGTCTTAAAGCTGCAAAAAACTTTACATGAGTTTTTACACTGGCAGTTGGAAATTTTGTATTATTGGAGATGATGACTGTAAGAAACAAAGGGTGTTGGGCACAGCTTCTTCATGTAGATGAATCAACTAGAGGTGATGCTTTCCTGAATCTGCTTCTCATAAACAGGGAAGTCAAGGATGTGGTAATCGTTAGCAGCCTTGGCTGTAGCGGCCACGGAATAGCAGAGTTCAAGACCGTGGGTGTAGTGAGGAAAGCTGGTAGCAGAGTACAGAACCTGGGTTTTAGCTTGTTGAGGCTTCTGGACTCCAGCTTATTCAGGCAACAGGTAGTTGAGATTTTGAGAGAGGCAACTTTGAAAGTTGGAGGAGCTGAAGAGGTGGAGGCCTGTAAGGACAGGGACATTTCATCCTGATACTCATGACAAGTAAATGTATTAAGGGATGGGCACAGCTATGCCTGCACTCCAGGGAGCGCAAAGAACATATGCAGGTGGTGTAAGCAGGGACAGGCTATAAAGGAGAAGGATAAAAACCATTGTCTGGACATGTAGGTATGATGCTAGGAAAGCCAAAGTTCTGCTGCTGAAACTAGCAAGGAATGTCAAGGGTGACAAGAAGAACTTTCACTGCTACATGAGTGGTGAAGGGGGGAGTGTAAACCAGCTGCTAAGTGGGGCAGGTGACTTAGGAAAAGTGGGCACAGATAAGGCTGAAGTACTCGGCCTTCTTGTGTGAGTCTTCAGAACTTATGTCCCCTAGGCTTTGTGTCTAAGAAACAGGATTCAAGGAGAGGAAGAACCAGCAATGGAAAAGTGTCAAGTTGGGAATCTCTTGAGAAATCTCAACCCATACGAGTCGATAGTACCCACTTGGGGTACATCCTGAGAGGGCTGAGAGAGCTGGTGGGTGTCACTGTGAGGTTGCTCTCTCACCATCTTGGAGGTGGAGGTCAGCTACACCTCAGTCATCCTCACTTCAGTCTCCTGGGAAGTCATGAAGTTCTCTCGGAAGCTGTTTTTAGGCATGTGAAGGGGAAGGCAACTGGGAACTGCCGACATGGCTGCACTTGCAAACTGATCACCTTTGGTGATGAAATTACTAGATCTGTAGATCCAGAGCCTTGGATGTCATCTACATTAGCTTTAGCAGGACTTTTGAAACAGTTTCCTGCATCATCCTCCTCTCTGAGTTGGGATGTTACAGATTGTAAACTACTAGGTAAGTAAAAGAACCTGGTTGGATCGTCAGACTGAGAGTGGATTACAAGTGGAGTTCCTCGGGGGTCTGTGCTGGGACCTGTCTTGTTGATAAGAGGAGGATGTAAGATGTACCCTCGTGATGTTTGTGTGGTGCCACAGACAGTGGGAAACCGGCTGGAAGAATGGGTCATCGGACACCTCAAACTTCAACCAAGGAGCTGGAAATTCAAGTGTGAAGTCCTGCACCTGGGCCTGCACGCTGCAGTGGTACAGGCTGAGGGACCACCCCGCTGAAGGGACCTGGGGGTCCCAATGGGCGGTGGGTAAATGTGTGCCAGCGCTGTGCCCTGGCATTGAGGCATGTGAGGCTGTATGAGCAGGAGTGTAGCCAGCAAATCAAGGGAAGTGATTCTTCTTCTGGATTTGGCACGTATTAGGCTGCCCCTGGAATGCTGTGTCCCATTTTAGGCCCACTAGTACAGGAAGGCTGTTGATAAACTGCTGAGGGAGCTCATTGAGCCACAGTACTTGCAAGGAGTTCACAAGAAGCTGGTGCCCGATGCTTTACAGCCGTGCATGATGGGTGGCTGAAAGGAAATAGCCATGAACTGAAACAGAAAAAGAAGCAAGAGAGGTTGCAACTTGATGTAAAGTGAAACTTTTTCACTGTGGAGGCGGGCAAGCGGTGGAATGGGATGCCCAGAGAAGTGTACCCTGCATCCGTTGAAATTTTGAAGACCTACATGGAAAGCCTTGAGTAAGCTGCTCTGATCTAGTGGCTCTTTTGTCTGGAGTTGGAGGTTGGATCCGAGACCTTCTCAGGTTTCTTCCAACTGGAATGAGTCTGAATTTGAAAATACTCCTTTTGTTAGATTGGGGTGAGTGGTGGAATGAAGCGCTTGGGCTCATCATATCAGTTTCTTGACCAGAGCAGACTCTGCTGCCAGTCTGGAAGTCAGTCTGGAAGTCTACTACAAAATAATTGTAATGCTGTATAATAGCAGTGTATCTTCTGTATGTGGGCTGTTACGTGCAATAGCTGATGCTTGTGTCTGCAGAGTCTGTACAGGTGTCTGTTTGTGTTGTGACCGTTGCCTGAGCATTAGGGAGTTTGGTGGTGTTTCCTGGTTTCCAAGACAGAGGGAGATGTGCTGAGATTAAGGGCTGAAAATTCTGACATGAATTAATGAGCATGTTTCCCTTCTATCCAGTGACGCTCCTTCACTGTGGTATCTGTTGAATTGTCAGCACTGCAACTGCTGTAGCATGTAATGTTGATTAAGGGATTTCTTCTGGAGAAGCTTCCTGGATAGATAGCATTTTATGTCAGTTATATTTTTTTTGTTTTTTCCCCAGCCACCAATGATCAGCCTGCATGTGGACGATGATGTACGGTTTGTGAGAAGTAAGTTGCTGTGTTCCATGTGTAAAGATTATTCTGGAAGTATTTCATGCTATTTTACAATGCTGAGTACACGCTGTAAACAAATGAGAAATTGTTATATATCCAATATAGGTAGAACAGGAGGAATGCTGCACACTAAATGAAATAACAGATAGGAAGCAACACGTTCTTAGTAGTTTTTCCTCTTTAAATCTGCTGCAAATATACCTTCCCACTGCTATAAAGAAATAACTTACAGGAAAAGTGAATTAGAGAAAGCTTAAACATCATGCTGGCAAATGTTGGTTTTCAATTGGTATTAACAAATGTAAATACAAGTTTGAGTGAATTTGCGTTGTTTTTTCTGTTTGGTTTTTTTTTTTTCTCACCAATTGAATAGTCCCACACATCTCACAGTGGCACAGTCCAAACCCGAGTTGTTGAACCTGTCAGTTCCCGTTAGGGAGTGCACAGTCTGGCAGCCATGGAATGGGGGTGATGTGCTCCGAGTAGAAGTGCACGTCTCATTCATCCTGGGAAAAATGCTGAAGTCTGAAGTAGAGTATTTCCTGGGGAAGTTTCCTTACACATGCACCCATGTGCACGAACACACACACACACACACACACACACGTTCTCTTGAAGCGTAAGACTGGAGTATTGCTCAGTGACACAGTTTGATTGGATACGAAATACCTGGTTTGATTTGCAGGAGAAAAGACAAGTAGCAGCAGGATTTGACAGTCTTTCATTGACTCTAGCATCAGATGAATGCATGTGTACCATGTCTTTTTTGTGCTTCAAAAATACATACTTTTTATGCTCTATGCATACGTAAATAACAATCTGAAGTTAAACAAGCTGTTCATTAGTAACTGCTGTTTCTACGAATGTGCTGGTCATGGATTGTCACCATTTAGCACAAGGCGGCAATGAACAGGGTGGGCAGATGCTCTCTATTAACTCCCACCCGGGGAGGCGAAAAAGCAGGAAAAGGCAGAGAGACTTATAAATTGAATATTAAAACAGCTTTACTAATAATATTAATAATGAGAGAAATAAGGCAAAATATACAAAACCAATACTGAGTTTCCTGGAGCTGGTGCCCTGCCAGCAGCTGCCAGGAAGGCACCAGGAAGTCCTGGACTGGATTTAGCAGTAGATGGAAGCTGGATTCAGGAATGCACAGATTGGAATCTGGATCAGGATTGTAGGCAGGACAAGAGCAGGGTCCTCTTCAGAAGGCGGCCATGGACGAAGAGCATGAGACCCTCATGATCCTCCAGCTTTAAGCTATGACGTGCATGGCATGGAGTACTTTACTGGTCAGTAGTGGGTCACCTGTTCTGTCCATCCCTCCATGCGAGTACGACCCGTTATAACTCTTCACTTGTGGAACATAAGAGGTCTATCAACGACCTTGGCTGCTATGGTACTAATTATAAACATGGGCCTTCTCTGCATTCCATCCCTACCCTTAGCTCAGTAAAACTATAAACATCAGGTGTTACTGGATTTGGAGCGGACACTGAAAAATATGCAGCAGAATTCAGAAAAATGCAGTCAGTTAGAAGAACTTAGCTGACAGGAAAATTCAATAAAAGAGAATTGGTTCTGTTTTAACCAAAACCAGGACATGGGGGCACATAGCACAGGGATCTCTTTTAAACCTGTGGTGTCCTGGTGTCTGTAGATCTTTGTTGCGTTAGTAAATTAAACAATGAGATCACCAGTTCTTTTGCCCTGAGGCCAAATGGTACACCCAGAGTTTGTCCACATATTAAGTTCTCAGACTTCAGAACAGATTGGGTCACATCCAGGCTGAAACAGTCCCTGAAACCAGGCTAACTCCTGAACCCTGTCTGAATGTTGTCTGGGAGATCTTCTGGTTAATCTGGTCCAAAACGGTTAGAAAAAAACATTTTAACAGTTTTCATGGAGCAGATAATAGAACTGCAGTTTTCTGGCACTGCCCTGACCCTATCTATAGCTAACTGAAGGTATCATTGGTATTCAGTCAGTAGTCTGAACTCCTGTCCTACAGAACATACAGTTACACAACTATTAACGTCTGCACTAGCAGTCTGAGGTCATGAACGTTGGAAGAGTGAAGTTGCATGCTTGTTATTAAGATGCAATCATTGCAAACAAATGAAGGTGTATGTAGTTAATAGACTTTATATGATGCCATTGCAATGTCAGCATTAATGATAGTGTTTTCAGACTTTTATCTTCATTGCTACTTCATCACTTTTGTTTTCTTTAAGGAACACTTCATAGTCGTGCCGTAGCTTACCCTAAATGTTCTGTCAAAACTTTACAGGAAACCTGAAAGTCAAAAAGCCTCGATTTGATGCATCCTTGGTTTATTTGACCCGAAAATTCATGGACCTTGTCAAAACAGCTCCAGACGGTGTCCTTGATTTAAATGAAGTAGCAACAACGCTTGGAGTACGAAAAAGAAGAGTGTATGACATCACCAATGTGTTGGATGGAATCCACTTAATTCAGAAAAGATCTAAGAATCTTATCCAGTGGGTGTGAGTTGGCTTTGGAACTTCTAATTACTGAGACAGTAAAACCCAACGATGTTGAGTAATATTTATAACTTTGAGAGTATTTTTAAGCATATTGCATTCCTTTTAATAGTTAAAAATACTTCAAGTTCTTCTGTATCCTTAGGCTGTCTGAACTACTATATTAACAGGTATCAAGTACAAAGCACAACGAAGCGTATTGCAGGAATGGATGCCAGAGTTCCTTGTTTTTTTTCTATAAAACACAGTACTTTGGGGTTTTTTTGTACACTTTGTGTTCAATAAACAGTCTCTTATTTATATAAACATACTAGACAACTTTCATGTTCTTCTAGAGGTTCTAATCTTGACCAAGTTGTCGGAAAAGCACGAGAGCAGCAAAACCTTAAAGATGAACTTTCTGACTTGTCAGCTATGGAAGAAGCTCTGGATGAATTAATCAACGATTGTGCTCATCAGTTATTTGAACTAACAGATGACAAAGAAAATGCAAAATATCCTTTCAACTCTTGCATTACTTTAACACATGGTTTTGGTTGCAAGTACTTGGGTGTCTAGTAATAGGTGTAGCTGATACCACAGGTGTGCAGTAATACTTGGTAATGAGCTTTATAATAGGAAACTTACCGGTGATTTTATATTAGTGTATGTAAGTCACGTGCCCTGCTTCGCAGTATCATGCACAGTCTAGCCTGTTCTCAGGGGAGTGCTACTTGTGGGACCTTTCTGCTGCCGAAGAATGGAAGTGGGGCAATAGTCTTAGTACCCTGACCATGACCTTGTTCTCTCCATTATAGAGTAAAGTTGTCTCAGGGGCAGGTCTTGACCTACCAGTGAGATTGAGTTGCTTAGTGAGATGGGAAAGAGGACCCAAAACATAGTCCCAGTGGCCTGTTGCCAGGAAGATACAACGGTACGTTGGTTGTGTCCTAATACTGTTCTGTCTCTTGGGAATGGTTCCAACGCAGTCTTATCTTTCAGATGGATTTTGACAACAGAAAAGGGATTTCGTTTAATATGACATAAACATTGGATTTTGGCTTCAGGGTTACAATAAAATATTACTTAGCTCTCTTGTCTAGCAGAATGTTAAGGTCTGTGCTCAGATGAAATGTGTCCATTTTCTGTGTGATACTAGGAAAACTTCTCATTACACCTTGCCTGTTCTGGTTAAGAAAATAATTCCATAGTTTTCCAGGAAATTATTTATGTGCATAGTTATCGCAAAACAAAGAAGTAGTTTCTCAAGGGCAACATTCCCTCTGCTGTGTAGACTTATGACAGCATCTGTGAAAACTGTTTGTCAAATTTGCTTGTTTTTTCAATACTGAATATCTCAATTTTTTTAAAAAAGCTTTCTCATTCCTGGAAATAAAGAAAAAAGGTTTTCCACTTGTTAGCTAATACTTAATTTTATAAAGCTAGTATTAAAGTAACCTCAGCTGAACTATTTACCACTTAAGTTGGTACTCTGCTTCAACATATCTTAACATCATACTCTTTGTTTCTGCCCATTAGCAAAGTACTTTACAGAATCCTTGACCAATGTATACACTAGCTTATGTGACATACCAAGATATACGTAGCATTCAGGCATTTCAAGAACAGATTGTGATTGCAATCAAAGCTCCAGAGGAAACCAAATTGGAAATACCAGTTCCTAAAGAAGTAAGTCTTATACATTTCTGTCTTAAGGGAGCGAAAGTTCTCAAATTTGATTCTTGCAGTAGCAATCAGTAATTGACTTGGTGTTTCTTTGTCATGTGTAGCAAAAATTGGTGCTTTATTGTTCTTGTGTTCCACTAAACAATGCTGTAGGGATAATAATCTTTTTTTCAATGTTCTTAATTGTGTAATCATCAAATTTGCTTTGCTGTGTGCACAGAAAGAGGTGATATTGTAGGAAAAGGACATACAAATCAGTAGAACCAGAAGACTTAGATCCACTGCATAGATCTCCAGGGTAAAAGGAGCTGGCTCTCATCCTGTGGAGATGGGAAAGATAAGATTTCAGAGGCTTCCTGAAGGAAAAGGCAGGATTTTAAAAGCTGCATTTTAGAGGGAACAGAATCTTCTCTCCTTTGTCCATTAAATTTGATATGCTCGGTGCCTTGCAATGTGATGTCTGCTGGAGGAGAGGAGTAGAAGTAATAGGACTTAGTTGCTTTGCCATATTATTAAAGCTGCTGTGTGCTCTGATTTGTTTTCTGATCCATGGCATTGACTTGTCAAGTTTTAAATTTTGTTACTCTTCCTAAACTTATAGTAAATCTTGCTCATATATCTAAAGGTCAGTAAAAAGACTAAACAAAGATTCATTGAATGCATGTTCATCAAAAATGAAACCTTGTTAGTTTAATGATGCTTAATAATTGGCCTACAGATCCATGTAAAAGTCATAAGTCATAATTTATGCAGAACTAGTAATACAGTTAAACCGTTATGTCATTCCTGTATTTGTTCTGTTCTTAATCTGCTGGCTTTAAAATATGTGCAAAAATAGATAACCGATGTGTGAGATTTGTTCTTTGGTTTATGTGCAAGTTGCTGTTTTATAGGATTGCATAGAAGTACATATGAAGAGCACGAAAGGACCCATTGATGTGTATCTGTGTGAGGTGGAACAAGAGAAGCCAGATGCCAAAAGTTTTGAAGATGTGGATACCGTCACTTCTGAAACTGAGCCATCGGTTCCTCCTGAGGAAGGTAGTGTCTTCCGTTTACATTTTTATTCCCGGGTAACATTTTTTTTAAAGGCGGTCATACCAGTCTGATAAAGTTGAATCCTACACAATTTTCTGGGCACAGTTTGTGGGTGAAGATGTGTGGGAGTATCGGAAATGCCCGCAAGAGAGGTCCGTGCTGTTGTGTTAGCCCACAGCCACAGGAGGTCGGGGAGCCAGGCACGTGCACGCATAGCAAGGCGCTCTGCTGCCCTGACCCTTTCCTTCCTCTGCTCAGTCCGGGCTTCCCGTCGGAGCTGCGCTCTGCGGGTGGAACCGTGCGTGTCAGTGCTCGGCTGCCTCGCTGCAGAGTCCAGCAGCTCAGCCGCAGTAGTTGTCATGAGAGTTAGGATGCTGTTTCAAGCAAGAGTGTGTGCTGGTCTGGCTCGCTACTGCCCTGTCTAAGGGAGTGCAGGCAGAGAGAGGATGTAGTATTTGATCTCCTAAAACAAGGCTGGCTGGAGTACAGTCCCTCGAGCCCCACTGCTGCAGGATGTTGTGGTTTAAAAATAAATGTGGCGGGAATTGCAGTAGCTCAGAACACAAAGATAAATTACTTTTAGCAGTGCTGCTTTATAGTTGAGGGGAAGAGTTGACTTTTTAATCTTAGGCATTTTTTTTTTACTTTATTTTCTTGCGAAATGACTCAGAATTGTATTTCCTACAATGACAGTAATCATATTCCCTTTTCTACTTTTCTTTCAAAGTGAGATCTCCGGGGGAAGAAAAAAAAGAAACCACCTGAGATGACAGATTAATTACAACTCAAAAATATAATACAAAATGTAAATATCTGTGTTATGGAGCTTTTCCAAAGCCGCTTGGATCTGCAAACTTACTAACCTGAAATATTCCAAAGTGTTTTAAGATTAAAACAGCAGTGGGTTGGTTGAGTGCTTTCACCGGATTGCTTGTCTTCCCAAGTCAAAAGACAACAGTTCCTAGAGTTGCTCTTGGGGGCTTTGTTTTCATAATTGCATGTGATCTGCAGAGCTTTGGGAAAATGGTATTTTTAGCTTATGAAATAATTTTAATTGACAGAAAACATAAGCAATTACTTCTAAAAGTGAAAATTTGAAAACGATTTCTGGAACGATCCATAATCCTTATGAGAATGTATATAATAAAGAAATGCACTTTTCAGTTTTGAGGCTGCACTACTACTAAGCAGGATTGTCAAATGCGAGGGTAACAAAGAACTGGTTGATCAGAAGCCTTCACTATAGGGAACAAGATGTAAGTATCATGAGAGTTACGCCTTACACTGTGTAGGTGCTGTTTGCATTGTTTGCATCCAGCTCTGCATGAACTGTGGTATCAACACTGAAGTGAAATAATTGGGCTTTTTGTATATATCTGTATCATGTCTAGGTAGTTACTGATGTAGATTTATTGAGATGGTTTGCACTTCTGCCTTTGTACAGCAAAGAAATAAAATAAGCTTATGAAAATATTAACTGATGTGAAAATTTTAACTCTGTTGGACATGGCGCTGGCAGCTAGCAGGTAGATCTGATTCCTGTGATACCACAATACCATAGCAATTTTCAGAAGACACACAATGATCAGTAACTATTTTAATTGGTCCCTTCCAGTTTCTGGAGTCTACATACAGCATAGCTTTAGCCGAGTACCATGATCTCCTTGTGACCTTAGCTTCCAAAAATATGTCAGATGCTTGAGAACTCCATCTGTATTCATCCATCTTTAGTATCTGTAAAAAGAAGCCTCCAAATTTTGATACTGGGTTTTCTAAGTGAATTAATTGTCACTGTACAAATGCCGTACTTGGGCTCGTTTCACTCCAGTACTGAAACGTGTTCTTCACAGTTTTCTGTGTGGGGAGGGGTGGGTTGGGTGGTTTTTAAATCGGAGCTCCCGAGTCCTTGTTTTCCCAGTCACGCAGTATCAACAACTACCCATCTACTCACAAGTGAGAACAACAAAGCTAATAAATCCCTGAACATTTTAACAAGGAACTCTACAGCTACTTTGACAGATGCTGTGAAATTAAATATTCTTTATTGTACTAATAAATGCAAATGGGGTAGGGCAGTTAATGCTGAAGAGTTTAAATATACCTAAGTACAGATTGAGAGTTAATCCAGTTTTCTATAAGGTTCACTAGTTCTGCAAAATACATAGTATCATACTATGCAAAATGAGAAGTACACTGAGTGCAAGATTGTGTCAGAAAATAATCTTGACTTCTTGTGTACAGGCTACCAACTTCCGGCTCCAGAATAATGGACTTCCATGTTGGATACTATTTTTCTGCATCTCTAGAAAAGGCAAACTACAGGATGAGCTGTTACAATAACAAATAAGAGCAAAGTGAAAGCACGTTTCATTCGTAGATCATATTAAAAATGGGGAAGATGCTCGTCCAGTGAAGCTGGGGGTGAAGGTTAAAATTCAGAAAAACTCTTTGCACAGAGAGTTTGTCCTTTTCCTTCAATGTCTGGCTTCTTTCCAGGTGGCAAACTTTCTGTTTGATTTTTGCATTGCAGTTCTGGTTTGGTGGGGAGAGGGGCCTGTGCCTATTGATGCCCCTACACTGGTTCAACAACTTGGTGTAATGTTTGCTGTGAAACGTGTAAAAATTTCTGCACCACCAACTAATCCTGAATGCTATGTGTTAGGGTATGATTTTGTTACGTGATGGTACAGCGTTTTAAACTGTGGAGCAAGGAAGAGTACTTTCAGAAAACAGCCATCTTATAAATGTTAAGAAAGTCCATCTTCAAAGGCAAAACGTTATTTAATTGAAACAGATTTTTCATTTTGAACAAATCTCTAGTGATTCTGTTTTTCCTCCTTTGTGCAGGTTTTCTAGCTGTAGAATTCATTTTTTAACTTCAAGCTACACGATTATCACAGTGAAATGGGAGAAGCTGTAATATGAGGTATACTATAATTATTTTCTTAAGTCGTTGTTACTGTTTTAATAATGCACCTTCAGTGAAACAGATGGACTTTCGAAGATTAAACCACTTTGTTGTTACTACTTGGATACGTACAGTATTATCCCCTTGCAATACTGGGAGCCATGTGCTGTATAAGCCCAGTACGCTAACTAGCTGAAAAGATCAGACTGGGACTCGAGGCAAAGTTACCGAGTGACGCTGAACTTAAACACAAGTTACACGCTCACTTAAAAGTAAATGTGATAGGACCTTACTATGTACTTGTATAATAATGCTTGATTTTTTTAATTAAGACTGAAGTATTTTTGTTGAGTCCCTCTCTGTCCATTTTCAGCATATTTGTACGTGTAAGCCCTTCCCTTCGCCATTTGAGGACTCCGCCTGTAATCAATGAAAAAGCTCCAATAGAGTTTTTGTCTTCCCTTCAGTAAGAACGGCTGAGCGTCTGAGTGCATTATCAGCAACAGCAACCGCCAGGAGCTGCAATTATAAAACGGCCTGGTTTTGCTGACTCTGTAACTGGAACAAACGCCACATGTTGCCAGTCCAGTCCTTATTTGGATGGGAAATTGCTCGTCAGAGTTTGCAGATGTGAATTGCAGTTGTTGAATAATGTGATTTGTAAAGAAGAGAGAAGATTGCTTTAAATTATTATCTTTTGGAAAGCACTTAAAAGGCAGCAAATTCCTTCATTTTGAATAATTTTTTTGTTGTGTGTGAAGAGCCTCAGTTACAAGCATAATTAAATTATAACAATTTCAAAAGTCGCTTCAGCTTTTGTGATTCGGAGCGGTGAAGTTAGCCTGCCCAGGAGACAGCTGGCTGGTCCCGAGCGGCCGGAGCCGACTGCAGGCTTTAAAGCCCTGTGTGCTCCACCATCTCGGCATGCAGGCTGGTGCGGACGCGCCGCTGGCACTTGAGTAACCGCTGCCGTGGTTGTGCGGAGCAGTCCTCTGCCATTTTTGGTTCTGCTTCTGATCTGCCAACGGTAACTTGTGAGAAGTGTGTTGAGGCTAAAGTCACATAAATTATACTTGGTTGTGTACAGTTTATATAAATTCTACACAAGGCTGCTCACACAGATGTGTACTGAAGGACTGGGATACTCGTTTGTAAAATAAAATGGTGTATGTTTAGAAGGGACTCTTAATGGTGCTTGGAGAGAAAGAGAAGCCTGGTTCTCTCCATGGGTCTCATACGTGGTTCCTCCCCTTCCTTTCACCCCCCCGCAGCCCGACGGTGGGCTGCGCTGTCTGGACACCCGCCGCGTATTCGTGGCCTCGCAGTCACTTCTCACAACCCGATCCACGAATGAGGCCGTTTCTGTGACCACCCCTGGATTAGGTGATGGGGCAATAGGAGACGATCCTACAAGTTGTAGCAGCAAATTCAAAAGTGCAAGCTCAGGACATTGTTACCCTTTTATTGGGTTTTATTAGGCCTCTAATATCCTTCTTCAAAAAGCAAACTTGGCACTTCAAATGAAAATTTCAGGAATCTAAAAATGTGCAAGAAGCTATTCAAGTTCTTGGAACAGTTTTGCTTTCGGTCTGTTGTAGGTTCTAATGCAAATCCTGCACAGAGTTGCTTTTAGATAATGCAGTATTTTTTTCCAGACAGACAAGCAATTTTGGTTTTGCAGGTGTCATTTTCAAAGGAATTCCTTTTTCTTTCTTTGTTTTTCTGTCTATAACCAGAAAAATGTCACAAGCAAGTTATACCAGTAGTTGTTGCTTCTCTAACATGCAGCCAAAGCACGTCATGAAAAATGAAACAAAAATTGGTAAAGTTTTTCTTGCAAATTAGGAAGGTGTCAAATCAGATCTAAAGTTTCAGCAAACTCAGAAAGGGAAAGGCTGTTTTTATACATATTTTAATTACAAGGCATACAATTCTTCAGAGGCTTGCTGTCTTGTAAACCTAGGATAACATTTGTGTGCACAAGTTGTGACCTCAACATTACAAGAGTTCATTTCCAAATGCGAAACTAGAAGTCATCTGTCAGGAGAAAAGTTCAAAGTCCAGTAAAAACATTTTAGAATTTCTTTGGATAATAAAGTTTTAAAGGGGATTGTAAATTAGAGATGGGCCCAGACCTTTAAGCACAATTTAAGCAGCAAATACCTGCAAACTTCAAAACAAGGCCAATAGGCCCCATGTTTATCTCAGTCATTAAGCATAAGCTTAGACACAGATGAAGCTAGATATAGACTTCTCTAAACATCGGGATTTCTGGCTGAGATTCAGTGTGACCAAAATATTTGTGAGACAGCTGAGATTCCAGCAGAGGAATTCTGGATCTGGAAACATCAGGGAAGGGGGAATTTCCCTCCATTATTTGCAGCAGTAGCTCTTTGTAGGCAGTTACCTCCCTCTTTATTTTCTTTACAAGCAGGCAAAAGCAAGTTCTTGAACACGGGTATCCATATGAAACATATCCTACTAAATATGGCAAGTGGTAAAATTTTAGCATGGTGTCTGCAACGAGGGAAGGCATTAATGCAATTTTGAAAAGAAGGACACACGGTCAGTATCTTTAATGCTGTTATTACTAAGATCCATCTGCCTGCAAACTACAATGAGACCGTCTTCTGATGTTCTCATCTACTAGGCTGGACTCTGCCTCTGTCCTTCTTCAGGAGTGTCCCGAAAATAAATCGTATGTAGAATGAACAAATCAACGAATGAGCTGTAAAACTTCCTCTGCGATCCCTAAAACACCTACAAAAACAGGGCACAATATCCGCATGCTGCCTCCGTCCCTTATGCTACAGCAGGCTGCACAGAATTTGTAGTCAGGAGCAGAGAACTCTGATTT